TTGTATTTTTATTACAGAAACTACGTAAAAACACCTTAAGAAAGGGTATTCAAATCGAGCTTTTAACGTTTGGGTGAGTTAATTTTTTCACAAATTACCATAGTTATAAAATTAACAGAAAATGCTGGAGAACTGGACTAGAATCCAGGCCCAGATCCTCTGAGAAAAGCAAGCAAATAAAGGCAGCAACAACCAGCAACCAGCAACCAGCAACCAGCCACCAGCCACCAGCGGCAGTGGCAGTGGCAACAACATGAACAGCAAAGCACACATCCTGTGTGTCAACTGAATAATTCGTTGCATGCACAAAAGGCATGCACTCACATCCGGCTTCCTGTCATTCTTTTTGCTTGCCAGAGACAGAATGGGTTGCCTTTTGCCTTTTGCCAGGACGAAATGGGCCGAGAGAGAAAGAGAGAGAGTGAGTGGCCAAGCCTGCAATTTATGTCTATGTATTTGCTGTTGTTGTTGTTGTCTTTATGGCGTGTTTGGTATTTGTTGCAACTTTTGTTTTGAATTCCTGCGGCCTTGTCACACGGCTCCATGAGCTCGCAGTTAAATTTATGTTTCAACACAGCGCACAGCGCACACAATGAAAAAAGGGGCGGGGCCGAAACAGAGTTGCATGCAACCCGGGAATGGGGCAGTTCATAGGTCGCCTGGGAAGGCGACGCGTCGTACCGCTTTTGTAAAGCAGCGCATAATCCACTGATTGCTCCCAAGGTTCAGCTTTCAACAATGAAGGACACAGCACATATCCACGGAGCACCGGGCTGCAGTGTGGAGAAGAGTGATGATGGGACAGGTGGACTCAGGACTTTGGCTGTCGGGTCAACGGATGTGTTGCACATCGCTGTTGCACAAACTCTCTTTCCAAAAACCGGGTGTATTTGCTACATTGTATTTTGATACATTGTATGTATGAAGAAATGCAATTATTACTACTAAAGTATAAAAACTACAAGGCAGTTTCTTATGTTACTTGGTTATATGGTTTTTAATAAGAGTAATTTTCAAACATGCTTGGAATCATATCTATTCTCTTGCAATTCCTTCTACATAAGAATTTTTTGTATTTTCGTGAGGGTATCATATTGGTTTACATCTTATATTTACTTCAGTGTATCTGTTATCCTTTACCTTAGACTCTTTCACAGTCAAAATCCCAATCGGGAGTCTTGCCATTCGGTATTAATTTTACATATGAATAGGACGCTATGGAACACTGCATTTTATCTTTTTACAGACAATTTTTCAAGGATTGCTACTCCTAAAGGCATTTTTCTTGATCTTCTACTCCTTATGTATATTTATTATATTGAACAAGAAAGGAAGCTAACTTCGGCACGCCGAAGTTTATATACCCTTGCAGATAGAACTTCTATGAATAGGAATCCATACAATATAAATTATATATATTTGTGTTAAAAAACAATGAAGTAATACCTGCTTTCATTTCATTCACCTATACATATTATATTTGCAGTTTTACATTCACTGATTTGCATTTTTCCTCCACATCAAACGATCGTTTGTATGGCACCTATATGATATAGTCGTCCGATTTTCATGAAATTTGCCACAAAATTTAAGACTTATATAAAATGGCTATACCTCAAATTTGATGAAAATCAGCTGAAAACTAAAAAAGTTATAAATTTAATTGTATTAATTTCTCGATCGTTCCTATGGGAGCTATATGATATAGTAGTCCGATTTTTATAAAATTCCGTACAAAATTGAAGAGTATAGTAAAATGGCTATATCTCAAATTTGATTCAATTCTATTGAAAACTGAAAAAGTAAACATTTTTTTTGTAAAAATTTTCCGGTCATTCCTATGGCAGCTATATGATATAGTCGTCCGATCCGGCCCGTTCCGACATATATACGAGTGAGAGTATATACAAGGCTAACTACAAAGTTTCATTCAGATAGCTTCAAAACTGAGAGACTAGTTTGCGTAGAAACGGACAGACGGACAGACGGACAGACGGACGGACGGACAGACGGACAGACGGACAGACGGACAGACGGACATGGCTAGATCGACTCGGCTGTTGATCCTGATCAAGAATATATATACTTTATATAGTCGGAGGTGCCTCCTTCACTGCGTTGCAAACTTCTGACTGAAATTATAATACCCTGCAAGGGTATAAAAATATAAATATACACTAAAATGCACCCATTGTACAGATCTATCTTATGGCATGTCTTGAGTTGGCCTAAAAACTTTATGAAATCTATTTTTTATCAAAAATTTTTACCTTATAACCTTATTAATACAAATTTAATAATTATCGATAATTATTAATAATAATTAATCGATCTTTTATCAAAAATTGTTATCTTATAACCTTCTTAATCAAATTTAATCATTTATATATTATGATTTGAAAATTTCTGTTAATATTTCTTTCTCTGAGAACAACTATTACATCTCCTCTTATTTTCAACTTAATTCAAGAGTTAGTTAAGACCTATTTAAGGCTCTCTTCCACCCAGTAATTCCAGCACTAAAAGTGCTTATTTCATTTCCTATTACTATTCTCAGAATTATTAGGCAACACCAGAGTAAATCAACTTAGACTGCAATTGTGGCACAAAAAAAAGGAATATTTTTGATATATGCTGCGTGCGCAGCAGTAAAACAAGTATTTTTCGTACAAGGACGACTCACCTGGAAAAAGGGGGTGAAAAGTCGGAAATTGTTGTTGCACTGCACACACTGCATTTAAGTAAAATGAATTGCTTGCCATTTATTTTGGTTGCTTATCATATAAATTGCACTCGCTTGCCTGCAAGTCATTATTTGGCACATTTGCGCTCAATGACTGCACATTGTTTGTAGTCCTCCGCATTTCCCCCCCAAACCAGCAGCACAGTGTTAAATAGGAGTGACGAACCGGAAGCCTCCAGATACAACAACTGCTGACCCAGTGGAGTCCAGAGCTGGTCTTATGCACTTGACTTCATCTTCGACCTCCTTACGAAGCACTCGGCATTCGGAGCCAAGGTTCGAGCATGCCACCAGAAGGTGCCTCTTGAATGTGGCAGGTGTGTTATCTATAATACACCTGCAATTGCACATCGCCTACTCAAATAAATTGCAAGATATTTTTGCTGTTTAAAGCAGCTTAATACCCATTGAAGGAAATAGATTTTTAGGAAGAATCAGAAGGCATTTTTATTTGGTATAAAGTTGATATTCACATTTATAATTAATAATTTATATTAATTAAAATAAATCTGTAGAACGAATAAGTTTTTAATCAGTATTTTACTTGGCTTACAATATCAAAATATCAAAAGCAAAGTACAAAGTATTTAGCTTAAGGAGATAAGCATTGAATTTTGACTCAAAATTGGAGTCACTTATATAACTTATATGTATGTTATCACTGTTTTCAAAAATATGGAGCAAGACTGTACAGTTCACTTGGAAAAAAGTTTATGTTTTGTAATGAAACATAAATATTAATTATAAAAAAAATAGTATAAAGAAAAATAATATAAATTTGGTATTCAAAACCTCGACATATTAATTACAAAAGAAAAAAACATCTAAAAATATACATATATAAATTATAAATTATTTTAAAAAATACATACATTTTGCTGGCTTTGACATATCAAAAGGATAATATCCATTAACATAATTCTAGAAATTGTAACAATCTTACCATATCAAAAGGATAATCCATTATCAAATTTCCTTCAATTATAATATATATAAATATCTCTTTTATTAATGTATATACTATTTATCCAAATAAATATTTAAGTAAAATGAAAAAATATATTAATCATAACAAAGAACTAAAAAAATATCAAATAACCAATCTATAAAGTAACATAATTATTTACATTTATTGTATTTTAATGCAGACTTGACAACTAAACATAAAAATATTATTTTCTCTGTACATTTATATTTTCTAAACTTAAACAAGTGTTGAAACAATCGATTTTTCATTAGAAAACTTGCTATATAAACAAGCACACGCTTCGACGAGATTCAAAACAAATCCACATTCGACAATGGACATCAAGAGCTGTGTACGTTTTTTTTTAATACTTATTAAAAGTGTTTTTGATCTGATCTATTGACTCCTCCATTTGTGATTACCTTACCCAGCTTCTGTTCCTATCGCTACTATTTGCCGGCGCTGCGGCACGTCCGGCGCCAGCCACGCCCACTACCTTGCCGCCCTGCACGCCTTGGTGCGCCGGACAGCCCCCACCACCACCAGGAGCCGTCAACTAGAGCACCACTGTACCATTTTGCTAATTCACAATCGCTGAAAAATAAATAGAACACTTAAAAAAAATTTAGAATTTGTACATTTCTTTAATTATCACAAATTTATTTTTATTTATTTAATCTTTTTCATTAACGTACTAACAAATCTGACAATAAAACCTTGATTTGCTGGTATTATTTGGATTAATTAATTAATTTTCCTAATATTTAAAAAGAGGTGGCGGATCTGCAATAAAGCTGAATGTTTAAATAAAACTTATCCTTGTTACCTCTAAATAATAATTTGTAAGTCCATTGTTACCTTTTGCTTAATAATTTATCAAAAATTTTCTTAATATATCAAATAATAACTACAATTATTATTTGTAATTTACTGTTTTTAGCAACGAACACTACGATACGATATCGCAATAACAATTATTAATTGTTTTCAAAACAACATTTTTGTTAAGAACAGATCTGAGAAAAAATATATATTTGTTTTCCATTTTTTTCACAAGATGCTATTGGGAATCCCATATACTAGAAATAAAGAATACTTTCATATATATGCGTATAACCTGATAGGTGTGACCTTTCTTAACCCATACCCTTTCCAGTTAAGCTTCTAATCTCTTATCTGTGTAGCTCGTGGAGGCAGCCACACTTTTACCTATATAAATAAAAAAATAAACATAAAACAACAGCTATTTAAGAGGAAATTTCTAATCAGTTTGACTAAAATCTTTAAATGTAACTTGTAAAAGTTAAGTAACACTTTATTACAACGCAGTTTTAAATTTGATTGTTAATCAATGTTATTAATGGGATGACAATTTAATTAAAAGCTAAGAGCCATCATTATTTACGTCCAAAGGAATATGGCTGGGGATACGAACGAGTCCTGAGATCAATGATTTCATATTTGTTCGGAAAATTGTTTGTATCTTCCGTTCCTCCTGAATTTTTGACTGGATATTGCCCAGGTCTTGGATTACTCCAGCTTCCAGGATTTTGTCCAGGTCTTGGGTTGTTCCAGCTTCCAGGATATTGTCCAGGTCCGGGACTATTCCAGCTTCCAGGATATTGTCCAGGTCTGGGATTATTCCAGCTTCCAGGATATTGTCCAGGTCTGGGGTTGTTCCAGCTTCCAGGATATTGTCCAGGTCCGGGACTATTCCAGTTTCCTGGTTGTTCCTGTCCACCGAACACCGCTTCTTCGAACGATCCCCCACCGCTTCCCTCGTAGAGTTCAGTCTGTCGGCTTCCGCCACAAATTGACGCAACACCCAAAAGTGTTATACAAATCTCCTGTTGGAAGAAAATTTAAATGGATAATTTCGCCAATTAAAAATATATTCCTGCTGTTTTCACTTACGAGTAAATACATTTTCACACTGCAAATGCTCATATTTTCCTACAAATCTCCCGTATTTATACGAGTTATTTAAGAAAAAGTAAAATAAATAATTAATGAGATAATAAAATTCTTGGAAACCAATAAATTGTACACAACCGCTACGTTTGCAAGTCAGATTGTACAGATAGGAGTCGCAAAATACACTTTAAAAATATTTTAAAGTGAAATAATTATTTTTTTGTTTGTTAAATAGGTTTTGTTTATTTTACATTACATTTTAATTTTTTTACTGAGGAACACAAATGTGCCTCGAGGGTATCAGAAACTCTAGATCGAAACTATTATTTATTATATTTAAAGGATTTAATATTCGAAAAGTGAATTATTAAGAATTTACTTCCAACTCCTATAAATTAACTTGGAGTAATTAAACAAATTGCTATAAAAAAGTCGGAAATAAATAAATAATTAAAGAAAACGATCAAAGCGATTTCGACTTAATTTTTTTTTTTATTTTTCAGAATCATATCAGGTTATCCTTTTTAGTAGCGTCCACCGTGTCCGCCTTGGTTTCCATGGCCACCCTGTCCGAATCCTTGCTGGCCATGTCCACCCTGTCCAAATCCTTGCTGGCCATGTCCCTGCTGGCCATGTCCACCTCCGAATCCTTGCTGACCGTGTCCACCCTGGCCATGTCCCTGCTGGCCATGTCCACCACCGAATCCTTGCTGGCCATGTCCCTGCTGGCCATGTCCTTGATTGCCATATCCTGCAGCCAGCACAACAGCGATCAGGGCGAAGAAAACAATCTAAAATATGAATAAACATTAGGGTTAGCAATATCCTTTTAAAATGAACTCAAGAAGACCTCAAGAGACTTACGAAGAATTTCATTTTGCTTGGTTTGTGAATTGTTTGCTATTCAGAAAACGTTCTAATTAATTGTCCAGCGGCAAAGCCTTTATATAGCCAGAGATCGGTGATGTTTGCTCTGAAAAAGAAAAACAACGCAATCAAATCCGTATTTCGAAATTTGTTTTTAATGATTATTATTCTCCCCACGAATACTTACTTGCCGCACTTTGATTAATTTTCTGTGATGAGACTGCACAACGCCGACAAGAGTGAAATCTTTTCAGAGGCTAAGACCTATAAACTTGAACTTTACTTTTATTAATTTGTTTTGTTCAATTCGGAACTGATTAGACTATGTCCCACTTATTTCTGATATTATTTGCAATAACATAGAATTGGGCAAATTTGAATTTAAGAAACGATTTTATTTGGTTAACTTTAAAGCCTTCTTTTTGGCTTGTTATAAAAAAAATACTTGTTTTCTTAGTCGGGAAATTAATTAAATATAAATTTACAAAGGTAAAAAGTTATTTTGTTGTTATTGAGATGGCAGAAAAAAAATATTTCTAGCGTTTAGTATTATTTACAGATATATATTCATATTTTGTTAAACCAAAGTATATTTTAAGTTATGCGCCTAAATGTATTTGTGTTTTAAAGACACTTTACACATTGTTCTCAATTTACTCTCTGATATATTTACCGAAATGCCGAGAGCAAGACTCATTTAATATAGTTTTTAAAAATATAGTAAGTAAATAAGTAGTAATTAAACAAATACTGAAAACAAATCCTATGACATTCTAAATTTTATTGGGCAAAAATAGCTTTATTTAGATCAAACTCTTAGTCAACGCATCTGGAAAGAAAACTTAAAACCAACTAAGACGGATGAGGGTTAATTAAGATATTTTTATGGTGGAAAAAAGATACCCTTCCTTTACTTTCACTTAATAAGGTAATTTTTGATTTTTGAGCAACATTATGCAAACTAGTAAAGCTAACACTGTACTAAATAAATACCAACGACTCCAGTTATCCTTTTGTAAAATTAATATTTGTAACATAGTCAGATATATATAGTATTATCAACATCCAACCAAAAAAAACTCGTTTTCATTTACCCTTTTTGGTGTTTGAGTACACTGTACAAAAATTTAAAAATATTAAGCAGCGTCACCATTAAAAAGGAACTATTTTGTGAACTTCTTCAAAGATCAAAATAAGCTTATTAATTATTTGATATATTATAAAGTAAACAAAAGAAATGACTAAAAATTTAATAATTTTTTCATTTCTAAAGGGAATTATAGGTTTGTCTTTAAGTGTTAAAATAATTTACCGCAAAAATTTTTTTCATATGAATTAAATAAGACAGAAATCAAATACAATGAAAACAAAATATAAAAATATAAAACAGTGGAAACTAGGTTTTTGATTTGTTAATAATAATTATTATTTCTCAACGAATTCCATCCATTTAAATTATTTTGTTGTGATGAGAATGCAAAAAAAAAATAAACATGACAAAATATTGACAAAACTAAAAATAGTTTGTTGATAAAGACCTACAACCTAAGCTTTTCTTTTTTTATAAATATGTTTTTGTTTAACTCAAAGCTATACCTAAATCTTAGCTTTTACAAATTATATTCGTATGGTATAATGTGGGGCATAATATTACAAATATTTTCCTTGGATTATAATAATGTTGTAGACTACTTTTTGGCTACTTTGTACAGTAACTACAATAAGTCTGTGGTGAACTTTAAACCTATTATGGAATTATATTACAAATGAAACAATAAGTATAAGAATATAAGTTCAGTAAATACTATCGCAGAACTAAGATTAAATAATATTATATATAACGTACATATATTTTTTTTGCAATTCTATATTAAATAAAGCACGATGCCTATGCATGCTAGTAAAACATATTTCTTATTCAGATTAAAGCATGAGAAATAGGAACTAAACCAACCTTTTAAATGCTGAAATGAGTCAGATTGAAGGGTTGTCCAACTTTGGAGAGGTCTTCTAATCAGTTGCAGACAGTCGTCAGACTTGTGGAAATTTTTATATATTATTAATATTTTTTTTTCTACAAAATTTTGTACTCAATTGCTTGTGTGTGACCTTTTTTAAACCTTGGGCTAATGACGACACAGTGCGATTGCTAGACAGTATAAAAGAGCCCAGCTTCCAAAAGGTGACATTAGTACCACAAATATCAGTCTTAATATAAGCACCATGAAATTTGTAGTGAGTAATTAAGAGTAGTATTCCTTGGAGGATCACAAGACTTATGTGTTAATTATTTTCCAAAGATTGTATTCCTTGCGATCTTTGCCCTGGCTGCGGCGTCTCCTCAATGGGGATTCGGAGGCGGATTTGGTGGTGAACAGCAACAGCAGCAGCAGCAGGATGGAGGATTCGGCGGCGGATTTGGAGGTGGATTCGGTGGTGAACAGCAGCAACAGCAGCAGCAACAAGGGGGATTCGATGGATTTGGACAACAGGAACAGCAACAGCAGCAGGAGGGAGGATTTGGTGGATTCGGTGGATTCGGAGACCAGCAACAGCAGCAGCAGCAGCAGCAAGGAGGATTCGGATGGTAAAGGACTCCAGACTCATAAATTTGGATAAAGGAATTTTTAAAATAAAACAAATGCAAGAAATATTAAATTGAAATATTATATATTTCTATTTTATTAATGATTGAATTTGAAGCCAAGTTTGAAATGACTTCCCAAACTAATTATTTCTAAGGAATCATCTATTGTTTCTTGAATTCAACAAATTTTCCACCGCTTTTTTATTGAATAGATAAGGCATAAAAGTAAATAGGTAGATACATAATTTATTTAACCAATTAAAAATATAATTTCCACATAAATTTTGCCGTTTTCGCATTTAAAATGGACCAAACGCAAACAATATATATGTCTGGTCCTGAAAAAAAATGAAAAAACGAAAATATAAATTGCACTTTTCTGCCAATTCCCGATCAAAGCCTTTTAGTCTATGGCCTCTTCCTCCTCTGTACCCGCCTTAGCTCTCTCCAACCAGGTTGTCTGATCCCGTAGAGCATCCAATTCGAGTTCACCCTCGGTGGAGCTTAGAAGCCTCTTCCCCTCCCACTGACTTCCCAAACTAATTATTTCTAAGGAATCATCTATTGTTTCTTGAATTCAAAACATTTTCCACCGCTTTTTTATTGAATAGATAAGGCATAAAAGTAAATAGGTAGATACATAATTTATTTAACCAATTAAAAATATAATTTCCACATAAATTTTGCCGTTTTCGCATTTAAAATGGACCAAACGCAAACAATATATATGTCTGGTCCTGAAAAAAAATGGAAAAACGAAAATATAAATTGCACTTTTCTGCCAATTCCCGATCAAAGCCTTTTAGTCTATGGCCTCTTCCTCCTCTGTACCCGCCTTAGCTCTCTCCAACCAGGTTGTCTGATCCCGTAGAGCATCCAATTCGAGTTCACCCTCGGTGGAGCTTAGAAGCCTCTTCCCCTCCCACTGGGAGATCTGCCTCAGCCTGGTCCATGGCAAGGACATTAAGGACATGACCGTGGACAGTCCCTGCTGATGTTTTGGCTTCCGTTCCTTCTCAGGTCGCTTTTTCTCTGGCAACTGCAGCTCCTCGACACTCAGCATGGATAGCAGGAGATGCTCTGTGAAGAGTGCATGACGATGCCTCTGAATAACAGACTTTTCCGTATCCCGAGAGAGGCTTTCCTGCTCCGCGATCCATTTCTTAAGAAGAAATCCCTCGGAAGGCTGACATGCTGAAGGGTCCTCGCTGGAACCGAAGATCTCTTCGTTCTCCTCGCGATCCTGGGACTCCGAGGGCAGGGCATCAATGTCATCGATGGCCAAAATGGCAGCACTCTCCCTCGATAATGGCTGCTGCTGCTGACGGCGTCGCCGGATGCGCTGCAAACTTCTGGTCAATATCCGGCGCAATGGCGGCGTATCCGGTTCCAGCTGATTGGCCTGATCGATGTGGTTGAGCAGCAGGTGTCGAGACAGGTTGCGGATCGCCAGCAGTTCCACGGCCGGCAGACTGGCGCACATTGGACAGGCCACATAGCCCTCGGAGAGGCGATGCTGGTCATACACATGCTTGATCAGCTGCTTGGCCGTGCACCCGAAGAGGCCGCAATAGGGACAGGTGTAGCAATTGGACAGGTGCACCAGCTCGAGCATTTCGCTGCCGATCAGCAGCTCCTGCTCCTGGCCAGGCTCCGGTATTAGCTGCATGGGATGATCGATGCTGTGCGCCTGCGTCTCTATACGCTGGTCATAGCAATCGCCGCAAAGGTCATAGTTCGTACAGCGCATGCAGCGGAAGCGTCGTCCTCGGAACTCCAGCCTCTGGCAGCCGTCGCAGCATATGTTCTGGTGTCCCATAGAGACCTCCATCACGGTTCCTCTCACTGATCCTCCGTTAAAATCGCCAACTCCGCATGCGCTTAAGTACAGGTCAAAAGTTCAGGCAAAAAAGTTTGGAATTTCTACAACATCGAATCGAAACAAATGACAGAAGTTTTAATTTCGGATTGAAGTTGATTTTGGGTTTTATTTATGGTTTTAATTGAGTCAATTTGGGTTTATTTTATACTTAGAGGTTTTCTTTCGATTGGAGTAATTCCAGATGGAAAGATCACTTAAGATCAATACTTTATAAATCTACTAATTTATCAATTTCTCGATTAAAATTACTGATTACGATAATTATCAAAGATCAAAGATCTTTAATTATGAGCTTTAATTAATGATTGTGTATTTCTATGAAAAATTCTTTAGAACAAACTTGAAAATGTAGAACAGAATATGTTTAGAAATTTATTTTAAAAATTGTTTAGATTTTTGTTAGGTAATATATATAGCATTTATATGTTTATGTACTTATATTTATAGTAATTTTTGTTAGTTACCAATTACTTAGATACTTTATAGATAGCAATGGGTTAACGTCCGAGCCATTTTACTCGGGGATCCAGCCAGACTATTCTTTCTCTTTGTGGCAACCATAGCTCCATAGCTCGCCAGGCGGCAATTGTAATAGAAGTCTTCCGGCTTCATGCACCTCCATCCTAACCAAACCCATCCTTTTTTCCCCGGACCCATTCCCACAGATACCGGAGAAGAGCTCCTGCCTCTGCCCTGGTGTTGGTAATTATTTTATGGAGTGTGGCGGATGGGGCACAATCTCTTCGCCTCGGTGTGTGTGTGTGGGTGTGGGCAACTTATGTTTACCAAGTGCGAAAGTGGAAACGTGCTGCAAACATGGAGTTCTGGGCAAAGCACTATGCCAAGCAGTCCTTATGTTTCCATACAGAGGGAAAAAATTGAGATTCATTTACTTATAAGACTGGAGTTACAGGACTTTATGTCCCAAAGTTATATAGTGTTATAAGCATGATTTCTTAAGGATTCCCGGATAATTCCTCGGGTAATCCGAATTCAGGTTTTCTAACGCTTACTGTATGGAAATTCATGGATGGGCTGTATGAAAATTCCTTATTGATTCAGGCTGGAGGCCTCTCCAATCACACCATTCAGATCTGAATCTGATCTGATATATCAGAGAAAACATTTTGTAAAAGGTTCTTCCTGTTACTACTAGTATTTTAATATCAATCATGACCAAAATGGTTTAATTTGATTTTAAGACATGAAAAAGGGTAGAAAAAGTCCTGAAAGTTAGTGTAATCGTTGAGTTTTCTAAAGGATTTCATTTTAGATAGTTAATATTCTTAATAAATTTTCAAAAACTTAAATACTCACAACAAAAAACTTATTTGTGTTCATTGAATTGATTATTGTAAGTTTACAATAATGCATAAAGTAAGATCATTTATCAGAGAATACATTTTGATAAAGGTACTACCTGATACTACTTGTATTTGCTCTCAGTGTATCAGTTTCAATGGCATTTTCACTTCACTCCCCCATTCCCCCATTGCATGTTTTACGCTTTATAATAGGATTTGAATACAATGGCATTGTAATGAAATGTGCAGAAAACGATGGTCTGGAGACGGTGTGTGCATGTGTATGTGTAGCCAGTGGAGTCCTGCGGTTGCCTTCGGACTCCGAGAAGGTTTTTGCGATTGCAATTGCTATCCCGATTTCCCCGGCACCGTCCGCTTTCCGCTTTCCCGTACCGCCTTCCGCTTTTCGCCTTCCGCTGCCAATGTACAAGTCGAGCAGCTGTTCCGCTTTTCCTGTCTGCTGCGTGTAATTTGAGTTGGTAATTAAAAGTAAAGCAAAAGGCAAACTGTAGCAATGGCCGCACATTAAGTTACCATTTTACACGTATGTCCATGGACTCGTTCTTAGCTAGTATACCCTTTAAGGATAGAGTTTTAGTTTCGGTTTTATCTGGTCTTCAAAGTCGATTAAGTGAAACCAAAGAAATTAATTGGAAAATTATAATTTGCTTTTCTTTCTAAAATGCATAATTTGCAGTGCTCTTTTATAATGCTAAATTATTTACTTACATTGTAAAAACGTATACAAATTATATAACGAAATAATATTGTTTTTGATAGTTTCTTTTTGAACTTATACCTCACTTACTTTTAAAATTTTCCCATGAATCTTAACTCTATACCAATTATCTTTTGAAACTCGTTTAAAGAACCTGACATTTTTATAAAAAATATATATATTTCCACCCTAGTGCTGGAACCATCAATCAACGCCTGTCGACCTTTGTTGATTAGTTTATCAATTAAATTTAATTGCAATTTTATTTTCATTAGGCTTTCAAAGCATGCTAGCGGACCCATTTCAATTGCGCTAATTAATGGCAGGCATGTCTCCAGGACTCTCCTTCAGAAATCTTACAGCCACAACCGATTGGGTAAATCAAGGCGTGATGAAAATTACAGGCATGGTCCCTCATTATTAAGTTGGGTTGGGGGAAAAAACGAGGGCTGAATTCCTTTAATTGTGCAGACCTTCCTCCCCTTTTTCCGGAAGCTGTCAATGGAAGTGTCGGTCTCAGGCGCCTTTTATTTATGTTAATTCTTAAGCCGTGTCTTGCTCAATTCTCTCTCGGTTTTTTTTCGCATCGATATGCTCAATTGCTTTTGTAATCAATCAAAGTCAAAAGCGCAAAATGTTGCTTACATATCCGTATTGGAGGACGACAAGAAACCAGGTCCGGAATCCGGATGCTCGGATGGCGTTGGCGGAAAGTGCAGCCAACCTCTGGGCGGGAAACTGGATTGTCATATGTGTTCGCGGGGGAGGCTCTGCTCCTGGGGTTCTCTAGCTCAGGGCTCTATACTCAATACTATGCTCTATGCTCCATGCTCTTTGCTCGGTAGTTTGTGTTTGGTGTTTGACGTGACACTTGAGCGACACTTGAAGCCCGATAATTGATATTGTGCAGGATGAGGAGGAGGGTGGGTCGTGGTCGTGGTGGTGATGGTGATGGTGGTGGCCTCCGGATGTGCATGTGGATAGTGTGGGCGCAGCCAAGTGCCGCTGTGTGGCAGCCACGGATTCTTGTAATTGTCGCTGACACATTTTCGTGGTTTATTTGCGGGTTAGAATCATTGATAAATCTAAAGGAATATCAATCTTAGTCAAGATAGTTGAATATTATCTTAAGGCATAAAAATAGGGAAGAAAAAGTAAGGAAAGTCAGTGAAATCTTTGAGTTTCTTGAAGGATTTTATTTAAAATAGTTAATATTCTGTATAATTATTTAAAAACTTAAATACTCTCAGCAAAAATCAAATTACTTTTCTTTAAATTGATTATTTAAAACGGATTCAAATCAATGTCAGTGTAATGATTGAGTTTTTAGTTGATTTGGATTAAAAAGTCTAATATTTTGAATAATTATTTAAGAAACTTTGAGACCCACAGCAATAAAACAAATTTCTTTTCTTAAACTGATTATTTGACAGTAATTTAAATTAAAATCAACACTTTAACATATTGATTTTAACTCCCAAAGAGAATGTTCCAAAATGCTTAATTTATTTCAAGTTAAATCTTAATAAGCTTAGACTTCTGACTTAAATTTAAATATTTATTAATATAGTAATAAAGTATTAATAATTTGAAAGCAATATTAATAAAAGTTATTTAAAAAACACATCCCATAAGATGTTTAAAATACAACAAATTTTAATAGTAGTCTTAGTAACCCAACTTAATTGAAATTCTAGCAAAATTTAAATACATTCTTGGCGGTTTAAAGCCCTCAACTAAGACTATCTTCCCTTTAAAAAAGTTTAATGCATTTGTCAAATGAGTAAACGTCCCTTAACTATGCAATTAAAGTTGTTAGAGTTTGTCTCTGAAGCCTGGTCAGTGTGTCAACTGTCGTCTACTTAGTGCCAACTTCAGGAACTCCGTTAGCCATGTCTCCACGGATGTCAGCAGATAATTGTTAACCCTCCGGTCGCACCGCAAATCAAGTGCAGCAATTACAACTGGACTGCAATTCATTTGCGGCATGGATCATTAAAGGGTGTTGGGTTGGGTTGGTTTTGGGGCCGAGAACTTTGGACCGGAGACAAACCGCACGCAAAGTTGCCAACGTGGCCGAAACAGATGTCACCGCCGGAACCAAACCAGTCCAAAACAAACCCATTCACACCCTCACCCAGCACCACCCTTAACTCTTTCTGGAGCCCCCGAAAAAGCGTAAGTTGAAAGTTTTTCGGGAGTATAAAGAGTTTTCAGGAAAGTGATGGATGAATGGATGGAGTGGATGAGTCAAAATGGTAATGGTTTCACGCTGCTTTCAGTTCCATTAAGCATTCGATCCAATCCGGAGATGATTATAAAGACCGCCTGATGATGATGATGAGCCAAAGAGCTTTGAACTTGTGAACTCTGTCTCTGCCTGTAAGAGTATAATGATGTGCGTCACAACTATTTCGCATTTGGAATATTTAATGTACAAAATTCCGAGACGATTATCTGTCATTAGTGTCAGAAATTATGGCACATCCAGCGAAATCCTTTTAATGCCAAGCCTCCTCACCTTTGCCAGTCCCTCAAAAGTCGATTCAGTTAATAATGTCAGCAGAAAGCAGAGTTGACATCTATTAGACGACTGCGAGACACTTTTTAGCCTACCCGCCAAGCTGCTTCGCATTAATATTAATTTATCCCCTTCCACAATACACTAGCCAACACATTCCACAAGGCAAAGTGTCTGTCATCCTGAAAGTCCTTTGAATAATTAAAACATATTATTATTTTAGTACATTTCACTCGTAGAATTGCATCAAAGAAGCGGTCTAGTTTCATGTAGGTTAGTGTTGCTTATGAAAATTGTATAATTTACTGTAATTATATATCCCTAACGGGGTCTATGACATTTTAATTAAGTCGAACCAAAACCCAAGGACAAAGTGAGTCACAAAAAAATAATAGCAAGCGAAACAAAAAAGATAAACGCCCCGGTCGAATACCTCTTGAAATTATTATCATCACACCCACGAAAGCAAACAGGACTAAAAAAAAAACAACAGCGAGTAAAGAAAGCAAAAGTTTGGCGACAATCCCGAAGCACTTTTATGGCACGGCTTTTCCCTGCGAGTGAAAATGAAGATACGAGAAAGTTCTCGTTCCAAAGATACGGCTTCAGTGCACAGTGGAGGAGATCTAGAGGTGACACAAATCAGAAAACTATTAAAAAATAGGTTAGTTATTTAGGATTTTTGAAGGTTCCTTTATGCTTTTGATTTAGGTTCTGATTAGCTGCGATCTTATAGATTTTAAAATTATATTCTGGATTAATTAGTTGGATAATTCTATGCATTAAATTGAACCTTAAAAATGTATTTAATTAAATGTTTTTTTTTATGGATATGTCACTATATTTATATTTATACAGAATGTGTCATTAAACATTGAGCATTTACTTTTAAGAATGAAAAATTTAAGTTTAGATTGTCGGACTTTTTAGATGGTCTTATTCTGATTTGTATAAGACATTTAAAGGTAAATTCTCAATAATTATTGAATATAGAATAAATAACCTGTTATAAAACTCATAATATAAGTTATTTTTAATTATACTTACGTTTACGTAATGTAAGTTATTTTCTATTAAAATTGCGTATACGTAATATTAACCAAAAAGCAGGCGTAAAATAGGGATTTAAGTTTTCAATACTTTGTGTGTCCCAAATTCAAGTAAATCTTTGTAAATTTCAATATTTAACCTATTACTTCTTTATAAAAATAATAAATTAATTAAATAAGAATATAATTCGAAATATTGCTAAAACTAAGTAAGATAAAGTAGAAGCTTTTTTAATTTTTTTCAAAATGATTCAATAATTTTCACATATTTCTATACCGATTTAAGTAAAGGAAAATTCTGGGTTCCATTACATTTTAGACTTTCAAAACGACCTAAAGGCACATGTGTCTTGAAAACTGTGATTTTTTTTCTCTCGTTGAACTTCCTTTGGACTGCCATCCCTAGCCAGGATATGGTGGGTGAGTGGGTGAGTGTGTGAGTGTGTGCGTGCCGTCCTGCTTAAAGTATGATTGCAAGTGTGAAAATATATATGCTAAACGTGCCACCGCCACCCCCCTTGGCCGTTGTGCTTCATGCGTTTTTGTTTTATGACGCGGCGACGTGCTCGGAAAATGAAAAGCACTTGACGCGCCAAAGTGCTGAACTTGGCGGTCCTCCTCCAGAGCTCCTCCGTCCATCCGCTGGTTCATCAGACCCCAAGCCTCCCGCCTCGCAGAGGGTACCACACATGCTAAATCGTAAAATGCTTCATTCTTTGTTTTTTTTTGCTTGAGTCTTTCTTTACTGTTAAAGTTTTGATACCCTGCTGAAAGGGTATATAAGAAAAATGAGAAATAAAAAGACTAATATGAAATATAAAGAAATTTTATTTGTTTATTTATGTAACTAAATAAGTTTGGTTTATTTTAAAATCCAAATATTTAAAATTGTTTAAAAATAAGTTAAGTTAATTTTAAAATTCTTCATGTCTTAGTTACAGAATTACCAATTTTGATTAAGTAACTTACCAAGTATCTCTAAATTAAAGTGAGAGCATAGCATATTTCTTGCATAGAAAATAGGACAGAAAATTCGGATTTTTGCCTTATTTTTTATGCGACATGCGCTCTCCTGTAAATGGGGTTTCCCCTTGGCTTCCCACACTTCAATTCCATTCTCATTTGCTCAAACAATTTAAGAAATTGTCGCCCTGTCTCGCCTCGTCACCCTGGACCAGATAGAAAAGCTATGACTGCTGTGAAGTTTATAGTAAATAAAGTATGATTGTCTATTGTCAATGCTCGTTGTTTGTGGTTTATAAAAATTCAACACTCCCTCTTTTGGGGGTTAATTTCATTTGATTTATATGGGATTGGAAATGGAAATGGAAATGGAAATGGGCATTGGCCTGGCTTGAAGTTGGGTTTAAGCCATGTTCTGTAATCGCTCTTGTTTGATGGTGTTGATGCTGAATACTGAGGATGCTGTGTTGTGGTCAATAAATTACCAGCTGTGCAGAAAAGCGATTCATGCTTTTGTTCCCTTTTTCACACATTTGAAGTGCACTTTATGCTCGCTGCATACACAATTCGCAATTAATTAAAACAATTATGTAGGCAACAGGAAAAAATATATATATGTATATTATGACAAAAGGACAATGGAGAGAACATTGCTGGAAAAAAAAATCTGCCACAAGAAACATGAACATTTTCTGCGGTGAAATGTCATGTTGGCTGACAAGCACAGTTCAAGTATTATGCAATTACGCGAATGGGAATCATGAGGATTTTCCAGTGTGTGCCACATGAAGCAATCCATGCATACATTGCTCCTTGAGTCAAACTTAAATCCGAAATGGAGATAATTAGGCAAATAGTAAATTATGCCATTGTTCCTGTACCTCATGACTACCTCGCTAATAGTGATCATGGCCAACGAAGGAACGCAATTGATGTCCTTATTGGATGGTAGCTTTTGGGCAAATGGCAATTGGACTGCAGCGAGTCATAGAAGTAAACTTAAAGATACGAATATCTCCCTGAAAGTGCCTGAAAATATTGAACTGGGTATCTCCCATAAGACCAAAGCTGAGGAGGAAGAAATGTGGAGAATTCAGGCCCTGTGGGATCCCTTTCTCAATCAAAGTCGTGGATTTTCTATGCCAAAAGACTTTGGCAATGATATGAAGAGACGGAAGAAGGTCCTCAAGAAAACTAGACTGAAAAATCCTTTAATTAATGGAAAAAATATCAAAAATTATGATAAGGAACCAAGGACTAGGAGAAGCTTGGTCTGCCAGGATTCCGTCAGGAATTGTAACAAGAACACAATAATAGCAATTGAAAATAACAACTGCACTTTGCCAAACCTAGATATAAGCTGTTATGAAGCAGATTTCAGACTTATTAGGACCAAATTCAAAGGGATAAAAAAATACCAAAGGCGTAATGCCGAATATCCATTAAAAGTTGACATTTTCCTAACTCGGCGACCACTTTTTGGCAAGTTATATTCAATTTTCGCTACCATGCCTGTCCTGGGAAATGAAAAGTTCGTACTAAACCTCACGGTGGACACCAAGGACTATTTTATCGATGAGGTAATAACACAGCCTGGCAGCCAACGAAACAAATGGCATTATACAAACAATCTTGCTAGGGAATTGCGGAAATTCGGCTTAAAACCCAAACAATTGCCCTACACAAGTTGCTATTTCTACCGAGCCAGAGCATCCTTTTTCAAATCCAATCATAAATTCGTAATTGCCAGGATCAGTTCGTTTTCGGATAGAAGCAAACTATTGGCAGCTGAAGTGCTTTGGAATATCACGGTGCGAAAGCCACCAGAAGCTGCCTGTATGCCGATATTCTCTTTACGCTTTTGCGAGGATCCCGATTATCCTTTGGCCTATTGGAGCAAGAGTCACATCCTTTTTATGGCAGCTGTAAGCGGTGATTGCAGGAATATCCGGTATGGCCAAACCCGATGGGATTTTTATGATCTGCGGGAGAAAAGTAAGGGCTGCCACATTACATCGGTAACTATTATTCGGAAGAGTAATTATATGACATTAGTAAAGCTTTATTATATGTAATCGGGTAACAGTACTAATTTTATATACTTTTAAGTATTTAAAGTCCAGAATCGTTGTTTAATTCAGATGTTTTCTTAGCAACAGGCTAACCCTGCAAAGTTTCTTTCTCTTGAACTTTTGTAACATAATTTTCCACTCAAATATTGAATTCTCATTGAATTTAGTGACTTTATGATTAGGTAATTGGATGTCTTTGGCTACCTAGACTTCCACTAGACTGCTGCTTTCTTGTTCTATCCATAAATTATGTTATTTTCCTTAGATCTCCTTAAACATGTTGCCCAAACTGAACATTTCGTGATGAGTCTGCCTCCTTATGGTGAATATAAAGCTGGTGTCATATTAGTATTACGAGCCTGTGTCATAATAAATGATGTCCCTGCTGTAGCTCGTGTGAGTAGACTGAATCAGACCAAATGTGTTACAAAACAGTCTATAATTTCTGTACAGTGTTACCTGAGGTACACCCCTCCTAAAGTTGATGTCAAAATTGTGGGCAATGAGTGGCGTGAAGTTAATGTTCGCAAGAAAACTACACTCGATGGGAGTCAGACCAGAGACCTCTCTAGGCCGTTTGTAGACTTTTCCACTAAGACATTTTTATGGAGTTGCAGAAGCAAGGACGATCCGAGGAACAGATATTGCCGTTCACATATGTCAGACAGTAAGTAAGTTTTTATTGTGGTAGGGAAATAGAAACGAACTTGGAACTTTTCTCGAACTAAGATCATTCTTATAAGATGGGGATAGTTCGAAGTATAGGTATAGGACTATATTTAATTTTCTGATATATTTTATCAAAGGACCCGTAATACGACTACCGGCGAATGTCCTCAGGAAAGGATCAGAGTACTTGTTCACCCTGGCCGTGTCCTCGCGAGAGAACCCTGGATTCATACAGACCGCCAGGCAGTTTTTAATGGGTGTTTCCAACAAAACAATCACTCTTAATATCAGGTGCATAAGTAACTGCGACTATGGAGTGTTCTCCTCGGATGAGAGTGTTCAACTTAGAGCAGAGTGCCAGGACTGTACTCAGCCAATAGTTCGATATGAATGGTGGTTGAAAACATTGGAAGAGAAATTGGAATCAGAATCGGAATCGGAAGAAACCCTGTTGTCGGAGTCGCAATTGGCTGTTTTTTACTATGACTACAAAATACTTTCCATTCGACTTAGGGTGGGGTTGAGAAGCAACATGTCAGCGGAAGCCTACTATACACTTCGCAGAAATGAAGGCCCCAATGGAACATGTACTGTTTCTCCATCCTCTGGCATTGAGGCTGTGACCACATTTGAGATCAATTGTAGGGGTTTTAAAACAGAATTTGAACCCCTTTATTATCGCTATGTGACGCCATCAACAGGCATTATTGAACAATCACAATTTGCAAGATATGAAACATATCTAACAGAAACGGAAGAGATTGAAGTCTTAATTTGCGATGTCATTGATAAGTGCACTATTCAGACCTTAAATGTGAACGTAAAGCCGTTTATGTTTAAGAAAATCAAGGCTAAGCCCAAGCAGAGGATTACAGCAATTCTTCGAAATGTTAAGGATTTGATAAATCGTGGTCTTTGGGACAATGCAATGAGTCGATCTTTAGCGGCCGTTACTTATACTAAGAGTGCAAATGATGGCAATATAATATTTGATAGTCTACTGAATCAGGAGACCGTCTCGGGTCCTCAGCTTGAAAGACTCGCAATTCTGACCACTCAATTGATTAACTACTTGATATCCCTCGACTATGAAGATGTGCGTCTCCTGGGACGAATCTTCAAGCAAATGAGTCGCATCTTTATGGTAATTGTGTCACAGCGTGAGGAAGTGCATCCGGATGCTTATTACACACTAACGGCCATGCATATGTACTACATCTCCACTTTGGGAGTACAATCAGAAGCGTATTCGGTGGCCATGTGCTCACCCTACAATGCCGAGTGTTTGTATTTTGAGAAAGTTCGCCTAATGCATCGGAATATTGGATTTGATTCTTTGATCCTTTATAAAATTAACCAATGGATGATGGCCACATGGTATCTCTACAAATGTGTATATTTCCTAGGCATTTTGGGTAGCAGGCAACAGAATCCATATCATGAGGCATTGTCTGTGCGACAGGGTGGCATTTCGTATCAGATGAACTTGACACAGGTAAATGATGGATTCAAACCCCTCATCGTAAAAACCATTGATAATAGTCACATAATAAAGCTATCGGCTAAACTTCTACAAGAGCTCCGAACGAAACTGAACCATGATGAGGTTCTGTTCCAAATCATCTCACAGCGTAATCATCACCATTTGTACTGGTGGTATCCATACCCAATGCCGGCAAAAACAAATGTACTTATAATCCATGCATACAGTCGTAATGGATATCTTTGGTTTGGCAATAAGTCACGCTTGGAAAACCCTGTAATATACAAGACAGACCTAAGCAGGTTCAGTGATAACGAAAACTTTAACGTTCTGACATCGAATGGTAGTATAGGCCATCCCTCGGAGATGCACTTTTATAAGATGATGCTGGACAACAAGGCCGTGTTGGCAGTGAGGATTGTAAACGTTTCTGAGCCAATTCATATAAATATGCGATTGCATAGGCGTCCAACGTCCCAGGAACTTGAAAAGCATCGTTGTATTATAACTCCAAAGATGGGGGGTAAACGTATTTGGATGGCTAACAATTGTGACCGGAGTGAGGCTTTTGTGACCATTATCAGGGCAGGTGTTGATAAAAATATCAATAGAAATCTGCATACGAAAAGAGCTATACCGAAAGAAGAAAAGTCATTATCACCTGTAAAATTCTCATTACTGCTGGAAATTCATCAATGCAGTCATTTTAAGAATCGCTCCATTGGACCCGGTTGGTCCTCCGAGTATTGCAACACCACCTTTGAGTATAATTTTGGGACCAAGGTGCAGTGTATCTGCCACACTCTGGGCCCCCTTGCTACTCGGATTTTTCCCATATTAACGCAACAGCATGTAAAGTTCAAAAGGCTTCTCGTTTTGGCACCTCAAAGGATAATATTATGTTTATTATTTTTATTCCTATTGCTCCTTCTGCTTTTCGTAATTTTAGTCTACAGATTTGGCAACATTTCCGCAAATCAAAAGCTTCAAAACTACATGGCATGCGATGGTACGCAATTTAAATTTGATCCAAATCGTGAAGTTAAGGAAGAAATACTTTTGGTGATAGTGACCGGGGGACAGGAGTTTGCGGGAACCACTTCTAATATCAATATTTATCTAAAGTCACCACGTCAGCCGCAGCATATGTATCAGATAATTCAGGATCCTGGACATCCGAGATTGTTGAGGAACACCACCAATAAGATGCAAGTGCCGAGGGGTTACATTAACATACCAACTCGTTTGGCCTTGGGCATTGATAGAAATGGACGTTATCCTTCGTGGTATTGCCGCACCATAACCGTTATCGATCTGGAGCTAAAGAGGCATCAACTGTTTGTGGTTGAAAGATGGATTGAAAGGGGTCACACGCGTTATATACGCTCCAAGTACTTCCCCAGGGGAGGCCGAGAGTTCATACCTCAGTATACATGGTGGAAGCGATTCCGGAATAGATTTGAGCAATTGTACTACAATTGGTTCTGTGATAATCCTGTCACAGGACCCTGGCAGAGTAGCATTGGTGGCTGGACCTTGAACCGAATCGAACGAACCGCTGTTTTGATCAGTAAATTAGCCATTACATTCACTCTGGTTAGTTTATTTTATGGAAGGAGAACTGTGGAATCCATTGAGAAGGAGAGACTTACATTTGGCTCTGCTTATGTCCATTGGGATCGATTGTTGGGTCTGTCTTTCTTTTCCTTTCTCTGCGTTTGTTTTGTACATTTGTTTTTCGAATTTTTTGTTATGCGGTGGCTTGCAAAGCGTATATAGTTTACACTTTAAAACGAAACTAAACACTTTTGTAATCACTTTAATATTAAACATTGTTTATAAAAATACCATAAAAAAGACTTTAATTCCATCTCAATACTATAAAGTGTGAATCCCCTGAATTCTTTGCATTCTGGTGTCACTTCTGTGGAGTGCATCCGACCGGGCCCGAGCTAATGGATTTCTCCACGCCTAATTACCATTATTTAGCCAAAAGGGTCAGAAAAAAAAGTAACAGCGGTACCTCAGGCAAAAAGGTAAAATTGCATTAAAAATTATCACTTTTTTTTCTAGAAACTATGCTTATGGTATTTTATTTTAATTTTTTTTTTTGTAGCCCAAGTGTGTATGCAAATGGAATTTCATAGTCACCATTAACACCTTTTTGCACTGTCTCCCCTTAACACCTGTTTCTTGTGGTGCCTGGTGTGTGTGTGTTTTTTTTCTCCGCATATTTTATGTGACGCTGGGTGAAATTTAAAAAATAAAAATGCATTTAATTAAATGCCACACGAATGCTGCGAAAAACGTATTCAACGTGCTATATTTTATGCCAGAAGTCGGATTTTTTTTCTCGATGCTTTTACTGTTCTCGTTTCTCATTGTCGCGTGGAGACAGTCGAAAAATTTAGTTTCATAACGTAACTGGGGGCACAAGAATTATAAATGCATTTAACTTGACCGGCTGGGGCTTCTAAACTAATAAAAAATACAGAAAGGAGTCCCTTCTCTTTGATAAGCATTTAGCACAGGTTTTCATATTCGATGAAGCTAAATAAACATGAAATAAAATAAATAAAACAGTGTTTTCAAAATAAACACTACAAAATATGTGGCAAACTAAGGCGTTTTTTATTGTAAACATTCGAGTTATTTTTGGTCTTTCGAGCCGGATGTTCTTTGGAAGGAACCACTGTGCTTGTCTAGAGTTACGATTGTAAATTTCATATTATTGTATTTATTTCATATCATATCGTTCTTTACACCATCTCTATTTAGATTCCTACAACATTATTTTTTTAACCTAATCTATCAGTCTCAATCACAATTTAATACTTCGATGTAAAAGAAGAATAACAAGCATATAACGTCGTGATGGTCTATAAAGTTCTCTAGAAAACAATCCAATTCCTGTCATCACTTTTCAATTTTAGTGGCATTCACCATTTCCACCACTCAGCAATATTCAGACTTGAGGGCGTTACGTATTCGTAGCTCAGCGAATTTTCGGCAACAGCTCAATCTGCTGCAGTTCCGATTTTTGCTTACTTTGTAGTTAGGCATAGATTTGGAGTCCTTCGTTGCTCCCTGCAGTGATTCTTTCTCTTTTATTTCTTTTTTTTTTTGTTCGTTCTGTGGCACAGAGGATGCAACGGAAATTGTACTGAGGGCACGGCCATTATTCTCCGCACTCTGCCAGGAGCCCAAGGAGACGAAATACGGAGCTGAATTTGTCATATGCTAGTTGTTTGGGCACCAATGTCTGACGCTATACCCCGCACTTGACACCTGAGATTGGGGTATATTTGTTATTGAGGCATCGAGAAGGTAGAAATAAATAACAGTGTAGGGAAGGTAGATTTTACAAGACTTTGCCACGTATTATATGTTAAGATGAAGTAAGGGTACTACAAAAACTAATTTTATAAACAAAATACTAGAACTGAAACTGATGCTTATAAAAATTGACTTTTTGAAATATAATAATAAGAAATGTCCATTTACAGGTTTAGTTTTTAGAATAAAAAATCACGATATAGGATTTTCCAAACTTTTGTTCAAATGAAGTTTAATTTCGATTTAGATTTGATACATCTATTCCAAATGAAACGGTTTCTTTTAAGGCTTTTTATATTGTTTAACTTTTATCAGAATTTACTAAACTCCAGGGTACCTTCAGGTTTATTAAATGGGAAAAAAGAACCACTACCATAGTTTTTTTGTTTATGCGTTTTTCTAGCTGCAGCCGAGAAAATTGCAGCCGACAGTTTGGCACATTCCCATTTCGAGACCCTGGCATGACAACGCCCACTTTTTGGCCACTGTTTGCATACGTGCCCGTTGTGAAATTGCCTGGGCGCGCTCCTCAAATCATTGGCCGCTCCTCCTCCGCTGTTTCCACACAAAACCCCGTCTCCATGGTCCCACATAGCCCCCTTCAGGCCCCTAAGGCCGCTCGTGGAGCGCAACATGTTAGTGACACAATCGAAATGGAAAACGACATGGAACATGGCAACAATAACGAGCAGCAATAACAAACAGCTTCGAATTTTCACTCGGATATGAGACAGGCAAGAAAACCTGGCGGAAATTGAAGTGTGAAGTGTGTGACTGGATTAGTTATCCCAGAGAGTTGTTACTTGTTACTGCTTGGCAAATTTCCTTCTGATTTGCGGCACTCAAACGCCATGGGGATGATGTCTCATTTGGAAAGTTGGGCAATACGATATTTTTATTAGAAAGGATTAATTTTTTGTTTAAATACAGCATTTTATAAGAACTCTGGGCTTAAAAAATAGTTTAAACAATCATAGAATTGATCGTAAATTGCTTTTAGGTTTTATTTGAAGATCAGTTATAAGAAAGTAAAGGTTCTACTTTGATTTTTACCAAATTTTGGGGTTTTTCTTTGGTGTATCCATCTTTGCAAAAATATATCCCCTTCGATGCTTGGCAGCTTTCCTTCTTTAAACCATTTCCACTTTTCCCATTGGGTTGTTTACATTGCAGCGACGCGACTCTGTGGTGGCGCATAGGTAAATGCAATTGAAGATGAAACTTAAGTTCCACCAAAATAAAGGTTAAGTCTAAGAGACTGTTTATTCCTCTGTGATTTATAAATGTTAAAAAAACCATAAAGAACAAACAATTAAAAAGTGATATTTTTAGATCCTTAAAAACTAGTCAATCTTTAAACTAATTCCCTAAAGGATAAAATAAATATTTAGGTACATTTCTGCTAGTTTTAATATATTTACCAAGTAGTTTTTCATACAAATTAATATTGATTTTACTTGGAGATCAATTCACTCCTTAGTCCTGTAAGCCAAGTGCCCGTGTTTTTGGCGTACATATATTACAAAAATATAAAAAAAAACAAATAATTGAAAAGGAATATTCTTAGGTCTTTAAAAACTAGTAATTTTTTAAACTAAATGCCAAAAAGAAGCAATGAATATTGATGAATTTTTCGTACCAATAAATATAGATTTTACCTTTCAGCTAGTTTTAATTTATTTATAAATGATTTTTTCGTATCAAAATGTACTGATTTTACCTTGAGATCAAGGACCTCCTTAGTCCTGTAAGCCAACTGCCCATGTTTTTGGCTTACATATATTACAAAAACAAAATAAAACAAACAATTAAAATGGGATTTCCTAGGTCTTTAAAAACTATTTAATTTTTAAACTAATTGCCTAAAAGAAGCAATGAATATTGATGAATTTTTCATATCAATAAATATACATTTTACCTTATGATCAAGGCACTCCTTAGTCCTGTAAGCCAAGTGCCCATGTTTTTGGTTTACACCGAACTAAGCCCAACTGCTCATGTGGAACGTCCTCGGGAGTAGAGCCGTCGTCTTTGGTAGTTTTCCCAGCAGTTTTTCCCGCATCCCCATGCATTTGAGTTTCGCTCACGATATTTTGCCCATGAAATTTGCAAGAATTTGTTGTGTCAATTGTGGGCACGACAACGCCCTCCGCCTTCCTCCCTAGTCTAGTTTGGGTAAATATTTCTTTACAGCATTAAATTTGGTTTAACAAATTGGCATTTTTACGGCGGAGGCAGGGGCAGAGGCAGGCAGCTTAAAGTCCCGCAGAGCATTTTCGCGAACTGAAAGCAAACCATCAAGTCTGCATTACATGGGGCGTATGCGCAATTTCGGATGCAGTAAAAATCCAGCTGCAGATGTTTCGAAGCACGAAATTAATTACGGAAAATAAGTACACAGATACACACACACGCACGCACAGTAAGGGAAAAGACCAACAAGAAACAGCGCCAGAATAATAATAATAATAAGTAACAAAAATAAACTTTACACGCTCAAGAAGAAACAGCAGCAGAAGAAGGAAAAGTCCTGTGGCAGAGGCAGCAGCGGCTATAAACAAGCATATATGCTAAGGCAAAAGGCATAAAAATAAATCCAGAGAAGGGAAAACTTTTTCATATTATCTGACTGAGATGTGTGTGCGAGTGTGCCTTAGAATTTGGGATATGTTTGCTCTTGAGTATCCTTGCGTCTTGCAGATCTGTCAGTTGTCGGAGAATTCGTCACTTGACTTTTTTGGTACCTTCAAGGGGCCAATCAAAGCTGCAACAAAAAGAGACTCTAAAATATATTAAATATATATTTCGTCTTTAGTTTAGCAAAGTTAGAAGTTCAAGGTTTAAATTCGAACCTGGATTGTGTGCATTTAGTTTTTCTTTGTTTTGCCATTCATTTCCACATTCATTTCATATTCGTTTGTCCATTTTCTTATTCCTGTTTAATCGTCGTAACTCCTCGATGGCCCAAAGGCAAAGGCCAAGCCCAAGCTTGAGCATCGAGTAAAGGCAGCAATTAGTGCTAAATAAAGAAATCATAAAGTGTAAATAATATTTTTCCAGCGCAAATAAAAAGCAGGCCAGAAAACCACAAGAAACCATAACGGCCAGTACAAGAGCAAGTCGTATTATTTACGGCTGTCATTGTTTTTGGCATTTAAAGAGAGAGGAAAATTTTCTGTTGGCCGACAGTTTAGCATTCGTTGTGGAAAAGACTTTTCCAAGCATATTAATTGTTACACAAAATACTTTAAATAAATTCCATGAACTTGTCTAAACACATGTCCGGCCAAGACGGAACATGAGTGATGTGTAAATGGAGCCCAAAGTGCCAATTAGTATGGAGAAAAATGGTCACAATTAAACCAGTAAATGTTTACTTTATATTTGAATGTATCTCAGAGATTCCTTGACAATGCATACACTTCTTTTTATATTTCAATATATTTCTGTAAGTATAAATGTATCTCAGAGATTTCTTGACAATACATTCACTTATTTATATATATTTTAATATATTAAGCAGGCTCTATTTGTAACCAAAATAATGTTGAAGTTGAGAACATGCGAAATGCCTTTCATCATGCAAAATCTAAATGAATTTATGACTTCAATTCAAACGAAAAAAAAAACTCAATAAAATATGACTGTTAACTGGTAAATGTGCCCTCCTTTCAGATTGCATGCATAAAACCATCAGGAAACCCCAAAAAATAAAAAATATCTGAATATATATGTATCTATGTGTACAAGGTAAGGGTTTGTCTCTTGGCTCTTGGCTCTTGGCGGGAACGAGTCCAATTCCTGGTGGGAATCACGTAACGAAGTGCATTGTTAAAATATAATAAAATTGCAATTTTGCGTTCATGTTGCAATGTGGCGTCATATCCTTTTTCCTTTAATTTTTCACGAATTCGCCATTTCGTAGTTCCGAAAAACTGAACCAGCAGCAGTAGCAGCAGCAGAAAGAGAGGACATTCTGCACTTTCTATGCACACTCCATAGATTTTAATGCAATTTTCTCAATGGCGGGTGGTGTTGTGTCTCTCCTCCCCCTTCCTCCTCCCCGCCCCTGAATATATCCAAAGACTTGTGTGTATATATTTTTATTTTCGCCGCTGTCATTGTCGCAGCTGCCAAAGTCTTTGTTCTTCTGCGAGTCGAGTGGTGGTGTCGCGTCCGAGTTTCGAGCATCGAGCTGGGACCAGGAAGCCGGGAAACTGGGAGCTGGAAGCTGGGAGCTGGAAGCTGGGAGATACGGGTCCGGGTCCTGGACCGAGGCCGAGCCCATCCGCTATACTTCAGTTGGTTAAGCTTAGTGGACAGAACTGTTCAAATAGCTGCTTTTTAGCTAGAAAAATCCTCCAAAAGCAAGGACTTTGGTTATCCTTCCTGGTAAAGCTCGGATCTCTAGAGCAAGGTATGGGTAGCTCTGTCTTATAAAAGAAATATATTTCAAATATGATAATCAGAAATTAAATCCAGTTGTTTAATGATAATATAATGTAAAGATATTGATAAAATATTTAGTTTTTCAGTATTTCAAAAGACCTTTCAATAGTTATTATTCTTCCATTACCTATAACCAACTATACCCTTAGTCCTTTGATGTTTTCCCTATAAAATCTCTACGTTTTGCGGTTCAGTTCTGGTTGCCTCGGCTGTTTGGACAGCGTATCCGCTTTCTGGTTTTTCTCTTCGGCTCTTGTCCATATTTCTGCACTCAATTGTCCTTCAGTGCATTTTGTGGTCGTCTCTATTCTGCTTTCTGCATTGTGTTTGTCATCCTCTCCCTCTTAGCTGGAGCAGTAAAGTATAATGCTTTTGTTTGTTCGCGCAATAAAAAATGATTACTTTAATTTCCGAGCCACATAAAAAGGCACGTCTAACATGAGAAATCGCTGTCATTGCCGGTTTTTCGGTCTCTCAATGCCTTTTTACATTGGCATTGGCAAAGCAGAGTTTGACCGCAGATCTGGCAAATAGGAAATGCATTAAAGCTTTTATTATTTAAGTGTGGTGATAATCACACCGATATTTCTTACACCTTTTTCTTGTAGTTTTTGTATTCGTGATGGTAGTAATATTTTAGGCAGAAATTATTAGGTTAATGTATAAAGAAGTATAGAGATTTTAGACAGAAACTATCAGGATGTATTATAAAGAGGTGGAGTGAGTGCAATGATCTAGAACTGGTGATCTCTAATAAAAAGATAATTGAGTTTCAATAGGTTTTTAATTGTTTCAAAATCCTTCCAGAGGATATTATACCTAAAAGTCCTTAAGTCTTCCAGTAAATATATTTTATGTTTCATAGAGAAATTCATACATTTATATAAATAGGCATAAATCATATATGAATAGTCTATAAGTTCTAAGCTTAAATAAGAAATCTCATAGAAATATATTAATAGACTTCTTATTATTTTAATAAAACAAAGATTTTTAGTATGTTATTCCTAGAATAATGAAATCAAGCTTATTTTGAGAAATCGAAGTTTGAATACTCTTTCAATAAGTCATAGGATCATGATTTCCAATAAGAAATCAAACAAAAGTAAGTCAAAAATATATTAATTTCAATTTAAAAAGCCAATTCTGTGCTAGTTTTATCGGACTTATAAAATTACTTACTAAGGTTTTTTATAAAATTTTTTGTTTTGTCAAATGCTAAAAATTTTAACGATGTAACTCTTTAAAAACTTTAGAAAATAATATATTATTATATGTTATTAAATACAACACAATCAAGGATATTGGTTTTCTTGAATAAAAAATTCAATAAATCATATAAAACCTAAACAAAAACGAAATAAAAAGTAAAAGAAAACAGTTTCTTAGTTACAATTACTAAACCAATGAAAGAAAGAGTCCTAAAGGATATTATTCGTTACCTGCATTATCCTTAAATGTTGTATAAGGGTTAAACTAATTTAAAATAACGTTAGAATTATGATCCTATTACGAGTGCCTCAGCTGTGTTCAGTCCAAACAGTCATAGCTGCAAAAATATGCCTGCCAAGCCAGTAATTTCTGTTTTTTCTTTTCGATTGTATTTCTACGCTTTTCTCCTCTATGTTTGTGTGTGTGTGTTTGTGATGTTTTTATCCTGACCCCCTTTTTATATTTTTGTTCTCTCTGTTTGTGTCAAACCGCATTGGGCCACAAAACAGAAGTCAGAGCCATATCCCCAGCTCGGGGTCCTTGGGTTCGCCAACGCGCTGAGCTGCTAAGCGAAAACTTTATGCACCAAATTGTTTTCACCTGCTGTCCCAAAATTTATAACACCTCTCGCCCTCCCAGGACCCGCGCTTTTATTTTATTTGTATAATCCTTTCGGCCGACCCAATGCCACCCGCACCCGGGTAACTTTTTCTGGGGGCGGATGACAGAAACCAGCATTGGAATTTGCGAGCCGGCGCAGGGATTAAGTGAAAGACAAAAACCGGAGGCGACTCCAAAATGCGGATTCGGATTCGGATTCGGCTACGGATTCCTCTGCACAGTGGGCACAATTTTTGTAGGACGGATCTTCCGTTTTTTACGTCCGCATTCTCCTCTTACTTTGCATAATGTTGTTAAGCAATTTTTACGAGGCCATACCGGAAGGAGGGGTCACTCTTAATGGGCAGCACACTTGTTGTGCCCGCTGGCTACTTGGCGAAAATGGGCCTGACTTCGCGGCGAGCACTTTTGAATGACCCTCATTAAACGACCAGAAATTATATTAAATTTACCAAGAGCAAAAACTCCAGCGGCCAGAAAATATTTTGCTGCATAAAATGTTGTAAATATTTTTATGCCTGCATTAATATGCAACGCCAACCACTGTATGTTATGTAGGGGATGCTGGGATGCTGGGCTGCTGGGCTGCTGGCTCCTGGCGATGGGACAAGATGGGGGTGGCTCCTCTTTCTGGCTGTCGCTGCTAATACCACCGCTAATAAAATCTTACTGCCGCAGTAGCACCAGCCTCCTCCTACCAGATTTCAGCTCCCGGAGCCATGAAGCACATCTGTGTGC